GAGAGAGAGAGAGGGGGCGCGTAATAGATACTGACTTTAAGCTAATTCACGCGCAAGCCACCGACCATGCCTCCACTCCTTGTAAATTTCCCCTATTGATTTTCTATTTCCTTATAGATTTAAATACATTTCACGGGAAAAATGGGAACAAGCATTTTTTTCTTGCACTAATTTGCTGACAAAGTACGTATCCTTCAAATTCTTTACTCGAAGAAAGGGTGCTTTTGGTTCTGTTTTCGAATTCCTGAACAATTCTGCGTCTGACCTGTAGTTACACCTGCCTTCAGGGTCTCCAGCCATCAAGCTTTATATTTCCTATGTAAGGAGGATCATATATGTATACTAACCAGTAAGAAGACGTTTGATAGGGTTTATAATTTGTCCCAGTAGATGGGCATTATAGTGTATACTTTGTAGACAGTAGTTCCAAATGGACGGCTACCGCTGCCTTATGATTGGACATTTTACGGCCTTAAAAATACCTTAATACGAAACTTTCGAAAAAGAAAGAGCTGCATTTTCTTCGTGTAGAACATTTAAGGAAGCCGTTATTTTGTACCAAATGAATGCAATAAAAATATTTTTGTGCATGTTTACTATAAAATATATGTAAATTTATAAGGTCGTATAAAAGTGATGGAAAACATTCATAGTATTAAAGGAGTCATTTTTTACGTAGCGTATTATTTTAGGCGGCAGAAAGCAGGCTCATTCAAAGGCCGGCCTCCTGGTGTGTCTGAAATTTTAAGGGTTTATACTCCAGTCACATTTTATTATGACCATATTTGGGTAATCTCTGCTAAGCGAAAGCAGGTTTTTGTAATTTGGATTGAAATTTCATACTATAGCACAGCTATTGTACACAAAACTAATTTCTGCTCTGCTTGTCTATCGTTTTTTATCTCAATTTTTTTTGAAAAATACATTTTCAGGGGCCAAAAAAGCTGGGCTCATTTCTCTTCTTTGAAGCAATCGGAATTTTTTTCCCATTTTCTCTTTTCATGTCGCTCCGACCATAACTAATGTCTATCCAAGTAGCCATCGCAGTATAAAGATATAGCTCGCCTCACAGACTATCTTAGATCTTTGCATGCTCGACCCAACTGCACATTGTTGTGTCCTATAGCCTTAAGCAGTCTGCAAAACACCCATCTGGCTTTTTACCTGATTTTTGAAGATGTGGACGGACGGAGGGGGTGGGTTAATAGCTATTCCTACTACTAATTTGAGCTATCTGCCGTACTTTTTCCCTTTAGTCTTCCGATGAAAAGAGGCAGACTGTGACCTCACCTTCGATGCCGCGTCGACGCCAGCTCACCTGCGATTTGTCCCTCCTCATGAACATGCCGATCATTATGCTTCAGTTCTTCTCCTACCTCTACCAATCCAGTGTGTCATTCAAGACTGTTGCCCTTTCTTCCGAATTCATTACGGGACTCATCGACTTGATCGTGATTGGCCGGCTTCAGCGCAGCCAGCCACGTGCTACGCTGAGCATCGAAAACAAGAACAAGGTGCGTCCACTTATCGCAGTCAGGCATTAAGTTTCGTATTGTGACTTTTGATTTCGTCCCGCTGACACATGGCCCTTTCACATACCCGCTCAACGCAGACCTGTTTTTGTCCCGTTTTTATGACAGCTTCCTACAGACAACATTGAAAAGACGGGTGACGAGGGACAGTTTGCCTGGGACCGAATGGAAGATTTGATCCTTGGATTTTTGCGTGCAATTGTAGCTGACAGTTTTGGTTTGCCCCCGTCTGCACATCGACCCGTCCATGTCGTAGACACTGTGCTTGAGGTAATTGTTATCTTCCAAAACATGTCTACTTAAATATAAACAGTAGCAGATTTTCTTACGATCACGTTTTATTTTAGACGGAAAACAGTAGTTGCTCATCCAGGCAACAACACGAACTCCAAACAATGCTAATGCAAAATTTGATGGAGTACTTATTGGCCAAGGACTTACTGACGGACCCGGGCCTTCTGTTGCACCCCTTCGGCCAATTTATCAACATCCCATTTAACGTAGCCTACTTCGCTTGTCGAATAGTGGACAAATTGTGGCAGGTATCTCGATAAGTCCTACAACATATTATCTCAGTGTGCTTCGGTGCTTTTAAACAACGCTATAATGTATCTACCTAATCTTTAGGGTTGTTTCCTCGGTCCAGTCAGCGAGATTGTTGACTTTATCAGTCAATTGATCCACCTGCAACAGCAATCTTCCGCAGCACACAACAGTCCACAGCACAACCCCGTCGGCCTCGAAGTCTCCCGTAGTTCCCTCTATCGCAGTCTGAATCGAGCCATACTCTTCCAACTCTCGCGTCCTGTTCTGACGCTGAAAGATCAACGACTCGTCCTAGCCCTGCTAAACCTCCTTTTGGCGGATGATGCGCCCGTCAAGGAGCTCATTTTCACCTCACAAAACGCCGACCCCGACTTCCCCGTGTGTCTGGCGCATCTTCTGATCCAGCATGTGGAACGCAAGAACTCTGACCTTCAACAGGTCACCGTTCGGACGCCCCTGTCGCCACAGCCTCGGGAAGTACCTCCTAACCCTCCGGCTGATGAATTTGCCTCGACGGCGCATCTCTATTGCACCACGTTTGACGTGCTGGATGATTTGGTCGAGGGGGAGGATGACAGCACCAACACCAGTACTATTTCCATCCTCTCCGATGAGGTCAAAGTCTATGCTTCACAGGGGGAGGTATCTTCAACGGACGGCGTTGAGAACGACGCGTTCGGCGATGGGACGTCAGCTGATTCTGAAATGCCGGCTCAGGGTGAGGAATTCGAACAGCTGTCAGCGTTGGCCTTGCGTCTGTGGGAGCACTCCTACATGTGGAATCAAAAGGTACCTTTTCCGGGGGTGGTGGGGGAGGGGGGGGCTAGGATACACCATTTTCACTTCTGCTTAATACTCAGCCCGTAATGAAACGCCCTGAAGGCGTTTGGATTGTTACTTTTTGCGTACTCCTTATTTTATTGGTGGCAGCTTTTTTCTAAGGGGTTAATGGCCAGCCTCTTAGTTCATTTGGGGTTGTACTTGGGTGCAAGCTCTGCTCTGAGCATGGCGTCTCTTTGTCTCTTTGGAAACTATTTTTGAGATAGTTTAGTCAACCACAGGTGAGAACATCGACCAGTACATGCCACTTCATTTCTGGTGGTCTTTTGAAGACGTAAAGTACTTCTAGAGAGGTGTCTTTGAATCTCGTTCATATTTCGACCGCCACAGGCGACGACGCCTATCGCGTACGCCACAGAGTGGGCGCGCCACTAGTGACTTGCACAGCGTCGTACGCACTCTCTCACTTTTCCATCATCTTATCCCGATGGCAGGCTTACGTTAATAAGGAAGAACCTTGTCGCTGCGATCTTCAGTACCGGTTACGTGTGGGCAGGGAAGAAGTGAGACGCCAGGTGGAAGTAATGGTGTATTCTGTACAGAGACAGTGGAGAATAGGTTCGAGGAAGTTGATGATCGGTCTAGTACACGACCACTCGCGAAAGAGCCGTGTCCGAAGCATGTGAGCCTGACCGTCGTCCCTGTACGGTTCTGTGTGAGGCAGCCTCAAGAAGTTGATTTACCAGACCGGATTAGGGGAGGAGGGTGTTCGCGTGCGCGCACTTTCTAGTCCCCGTGAGAGTTAGAGCGTTGGCGCAGTTTGCGGCACCTGTGATTCGCTGTCCCAGAGGTAGATCGAGATATCCAATCAAGTGACCTTATGCGTAGCGTAGTTCTAGAGGTGAAAGGCGCTACAGGGTCAAACCGACTTGTCAAAACCGTCGGGAGAGGACGCGGGTGTAGTGTCTGGCAGAGCTCAACGGCCACTCTACGCGTGCCACGCGCCACCTTGTTTTCCCTCTAGGTATTGTAACCTACTGTTAGGGTGATTTGGGATTGCATACAAATGAGAATAACATCGCATACACACTGATACACCCACACCACATATTTAGTCATGCGACACGTGTACCTGATACTTGTCATGGAGGCCTGACGAAAAATCGTACATCACGCAGTTTTCCGTGGCAGGAGCTGATAAGTGCTCATAATTTACGGAAGCGAAGTTTTTTCAGTTGCTCGTTGGTTATTCGTGAAGATACAAAACACATTCCTATGCGCCAATGGTCTAGTTCGAAGTCACACGGCGCCGGACGCAAACAGGCCCGTCTCCTTAATAGGTTTTATTGATAGGCATACGTCAGGTAAAGCGGTAATTGGTTTTGGAAGTTTTC